ACATTTTAATGATTAGTAAGACCTGAGTCTGTTGCAGATGGGTATTAAAACCAATGAGAAAATCTTTCATGTTTGCAGCCTTGCACTCTGTGTGTGTGTGTGTGTGTGTGTATTTACTAAGCTAAGAAAATAAAAACAAAAGAAAGTATGTTTTAAAACCAAGAAGAAACTCTAATTAAAAAAACAGTCAGTAAACAAATACTGATATCTGGACATGGATTTATGGAGGAGAAGGAAAGAAGGAAGGGCTTTACTCTTCCCCAGCACTAGCCCTCATCCCCTATTCCTCTGCAGTTGTGGTCACAGTCCTCCTGCACAACATTGCCTCTCATTTCTCATTCTCACACCCCACATATAGGTTAGGTAGGTACAGCTGAGCTTTGGTGCTGCCCAGAGAGCACCAAAATGTGAGAGATGGTGGAGAAGGAGTCCCACAGGGCTCTCTGCCACACGAGTGGAGATGAGCAGCATAGGGCTCTTGCTATGACACCGGCAGGGCAGGGAGGGGAAGGAAAGCTCAGTCCCCTGTTCCCATTGATGCCACCTTGTCCCATACGATCAAGCCTCATGTGCTGCTGACTCAAGCCTCATGTGCAGCACATGGTGCTGAAGCTTACACTTTTAGAGCACAGCAGTATCACCCTCTATCCTATAGACCAAGTAGCCAGTAGTTGACATAAGTGAGAGCTGCGCAATCCATGACTGAACGAGAAATACAAGTTGATTAGCTGCCAGTGTAATTTAAGGCTCCCAAAGCAGTATAGAAGCAGGTAAGGAAAACCAAGCAAAGTCCCCTTGCAAAGATAAAGAAAGGAACATTGCAAGCTTCTGAGGCAGGAAAAGCAGCTGTTAAGGTAAGCACAACTGAAAAGCTGGAAATATTCTAAAAAGTGGCAGAAATGAAGAACTCATACAAGCTTTGGGCTTAAAAACACTTTAACCTTGAAGGAGCTGAGTCTGCAAACTCATTTCCCAGGATGTCTTGCCTACCATATGGTGAGACTTTGATAACAGACAAAATACATCACTGCCTATTTCAGCATAGCCATATATGTATCCAGCTAGACTTTTCTGGTAGAGGATGGATGGTCTGTACCTCATCTACTGACTGCTGAGCTGTGCACTACCCTGATCTATCACTTCAGAAACACCTCCACTCCAAGCCCCCATGTGCTAGATACAGATGGACTAGTCTGTGATCCACAGAACTGTTTTAGCTGTCACACACTCCTGGATCAGGATGGGAGGCTGTAAAGCTTCATTGAATGCCTTGTCTCAAAAGCACATCACCATTCCTTCACCAGAGTACGTCCCAGTCACCTCGTCCCATGAGATCTCTCCTGTCACAAGATCCAATACAGCTGTTACGTGACCTGGTGCCCCAGGAACACCACGGCAAATTATGCAGGCCAATGCACAGTCTCCCAGCTCTCCACACGCCAAATAATGCTCTTTCTCTCCTGCACGTCAAAACAGGTTCTGTTACACCCTCCTACATAAAACACTTCCACAAACTTCAGGGTAGTATTTGGAGAACAGCACCCAAACCTACCTGTTGTTTCTCTCTTCCCCCGGTGGAGTGCCAGACCCGAGTTTTCAAAGCACCTGTTTGGGCAGTGCTGTACGGGAGCTGTGCACAGACACTAAGGCTGTACAGTTACTACACAATCTTCTTAAGGGTTCAGTAATTACCATTGCTAATTCTTACTGATACCAATAGTAAACTTAGCCATTACTGGCACCCAGCAGAAGCAGATCTAGGAACAGAGCTCCAGAGCTACAACCAGACTTTAGTGTCAGAAACCACTGACATCCCTTGTCAACATCCAGATCTTGGCCACCCTCATAAACCTGTAGCCCACTCTCTAATACTCCTAGGCACCAATCTGCAGCCACTGCTAATTATTGTGTTATGACTGTACATACACAGGTGTTGATACACACAACTGTTCAAAAAGAAGGTGATCACAGCTCCTGTAACTGTGAACTTACATATCTGTGCAAAGATAGGTATTAGACATATCAGGTCTGTTGCATAACGCATGGGCCAAGAAGCTAATTATTTCTACATGTATTTTTTTCTACTTGTCCAAAGGGGATCATTCACCACTCCGTTTCCACTTTCTGTTTTGTTCATATATAATGCTAACTGGGGTCTCCCCTGGCTTTACCAGACAAATGGAGTATATGCCAGTGAGAATGAATTTCATAATCTATATTTTAAGCACTGCAGTAATATAACTAGACAAGACACAAAAGTATTCATAACTACTTGCTCAGTGCAATATCACAGATAACAAGATACTACGAAGTCTTGCAATTCTGTCTTCATAAACCTTGCTTATATCAATCTTGTGTTTGTTTCTGATATCTTCAGAAAAGGAATTGTAAAAAAATTGTAAAACAAAACAAAGACTATCAAAACACCTTTTAAGTACGAAGAGATCGTGTGTTATATATACTTCTGGGGAGGAGTTGGGGGGGTTCTTTGTTTTGATTTTTTTACATTATAGGTTTTTTTACATTTATAGAGGATTATTACTGTAGGAAATTAAGACTGAAATGATTGAAATAACCACTTTCCTCCTTTTTATGTTTAAACATGCTCCAAGCTAATGTCTAGGTGCTGAACAAAATCAAATATAGATCTTTTGCTAATTTTCTGAGCTACAGAACAATAAGCACTGCACAGCAGAAAACAGGATCTAGCACCAGAGGCTGCCAATTGGGATTCATGCTGCTTATATGTATTCACATAAAAAGAGATGCAGTCACAAGGAAGTATGACTCATTTGACACTGGAGAGATATCTTCTTTTTAACTATGCATGAAAGGGACAGTATTGCCACATACTGCTCTGACAGGGGCGAATCAGAAAGAGCAAGGGAGTCACTGCATTTTATGGTTTGCAGCAGTCGCGTTAGAAAATGAGGCCCAGACCTTCCCTCTGTGAAATCAGTTCATACAAACCTGTCACTGCCCTCTGCAGACCCTGAGCTTCAGCCACCAGATTCTGAATTCGGACATGCCGGACAGGCCAACTTGTGAAGAGCATTTCATTCCCCAAAGGGCAATGGGGTGGCAAGATTTTCTGTTAGTGCCTAGTAAACAAGAAGAAAGGGAAATCCCATACTCGGCAGGCAATCACTGGTGCCCAGACTGGCCAGCCACACTCTGTCAGGGATGCTCTCAGAGGTCACTGCCCACAAGAGACCCTGATGAATCAAACAGGCAACCCACCATGCCAAAGATGCCACTGCCTCCTAAGCCCCAGGTTACACCATAATACCAACAAGATCTCAAACTGAATACAAACACAAGGGTGCTTTTATCTTCTGGCTTCTTTAGACAGTAATTGCCATGTACTCTCTAACACTCGATTCTTGCGCGTTGCACACAAATGCATACTGGGCTTCCTTTCTTTTCAAAGCTAGGGAGATGCAACTTACTTGACTGCAACAATTTGTTTGGATCTCATTCTATAAGAGTCCAAACAATGCCTCATTGTTCTGTAATAGCTATACAGAGCATATATAAGGGTTCTCTAACATTCATAAAGCCATTTATAAAGCCATTTATAAATAACATTTACAGTGCACTAGTGAAACTATTCTGCTAAATTACATTTTCCAAATCATCAGTCCTCATTATTCTATTTACAAGCTCACTTACTCCAAGAGTCACCCCCTACTCACATAATCAAATTATGCCATTTGAAATGCTGTGACATTATTTTGTCATACAAAACGGTAGAAATGATCTTGATTATAGCAAAGTAAGGATTGCTCCTACCCAGAATTTGTTAGGAGAAGTGAAAGCTGAAAAAGAGTTAGAGCTCCTGAAATAACAGATTTTAAACACCAGAAAGACAAAATGTTTAACAGCCATTAAAAATAACAGGTCATCATAACAGTAGGATTCAGGTTCTGAAACATTTGGCCTGAATAATCTCACCAGAAATATTAAAGAATAAGAATGTGCTATAAAAGTACAGGATTTACTTATGCAGGCTGACATAAATTTACATTGTGGCAATTTTTTTTAAATAACAGACAGTATAAACAAGATATCTGAAACTACTACCTAAGAAAATGACTTAAGTAAATACCTTCAAAATAATGATTATATGAAGACTGAAATAAGTTTGACAAACTGCGGTATCATCAAAATCACAGATTTTAGACCAGAGAAATTTATCCAAAGTAAAATATGTTTTATACTTGCACATGCCTGTGCTAATTATAAAAGTAGAGCATAGCTTTTCAACAAAAATCTTAAAAAAGTACTCAGAAAATCAATACCACCATACTGTCTTTGTTTTGCCTGAGCACACCAATTTTCACATTTCTGTCAAATGCCCATTCTATGCACACAGCTTCTCTATTTTATCTCACTTCTTGGAGAAAATTATTTTCAGAAAGCATGCCCCCAAGAAACACCTGACAACTGTATGTTCACATGATTAAATAAATTAGAAGAAAACCCAGTAATGGATATATCTCATACTTTACAAAAGTAGCAATCACTTGCTTGCAAGCCCTGGGCCATAATCCTTCTTCCTTACTAAAAAAATTAATGCTAGACAGTTCTCAAGACATTACATCAATAGAAAAAGGTTTAGCTCTCCCTTGCATCATTAAAGCATATCATCCGACCTAGAGAGCAAGTCTTCATCATTAAACCACTTTCAGATGAAACAATATCAACCTTCAAAGACATCTTCATATAACAAGCTGTCTCTATCAGCCATTTTGACCAGCTACAGTATTTGTGTGTCTAGCCCACAATCTTTTAACAAGACTAATTAAGTCTGAGAAATGAAAGACAACAGTCCTGTCGGTATTATTTATGGCCCTCTTTCTTCACTCCTGCTCAAAACAAAAACATGCAGCATTGCAGGATCTTTCAATATTGGTTTGTCCCATCAAACTCACAGTGCATGTCTATCTTAAAAAGACATCCTCTCAAGGATAAACACAGTAAACTCATATCCATCAGACCTGAAAGATGTTTTCACCAATGCTTCAGGACTGTCCACTGGCGGTAGTTCATCTGCCAGGATTTCCTCAGGAGGTCTGGGGTCACTGATGATGGTTGGCTTCGGCCTCTCTTTGAGATTGCCAGTTAGCCCACCAATAATGGTGTTCCATAGGCAGTTTTGTGATTTAGACCCTGTAAAAACAGAGTGAGAAGCAAAATGAGTTCACAGACCTACTGTCTGGCCTCTCAGCAGCCTGGCAAATAAAAATGGAGTGTTTTCTTTTGACCTTTGCATCGCTACAATCATGGGGTTGCATCTGAAAACTCAAAATAAAGCTCTAAGTAGAAATAGACATTAACATTCAGAAAGTCATTTTAAAATCCCAGACTCTAATGCTTGCCTTAAAAAGATCTGATTATAGAATATGAAGTTTGCATGTGTCAAGAACAAGCTTCTGCTTCATACTAAGGCTACAATTTATCACGTGTTGACATAACAGTATTCTATACCAAAGAACTAACACAAAAAAAACCCAGAGTACTAGATTAACACAACTGACTTTCTTAGATTAATTAATGATGATTAAATTACAGATTTAAAATATTAATAAAGGACTAGTATTAGAAAACCTACTTCTTTCCTTCTGAAATGTTTCTCAGTAGATACTCAAATGCCAAAATATTTCTATGGATGATCTTTTCGCAGTTATTTAGGAGTGTTACCAGGTGCCTCGTGATTGTCATTCAGGGAACCCATTCTCATTCGTAAGTCTAGCTCCTCTAATAAAGTACAATTAGCACTTTTCTGTCAGATCTCCTCCCTGCCTTTGGAGAGAGAATACACAATTTACTTTTGAAAGAAATTAAAAAAAATTATTTCATGTTTGCAAAAATGTCCAAATGTCTTCTGAATAAGTTAGGCACTTTTGAAAATCCCAGTAAAATTCTCATATGGAACACCTGTGTCATATCCTAACTTTTAAGTATTATAGAATACGTACAGGTGAGTCATCAGATCCCAAGAAAAGCAACTCAGTGCTGAAATACTGATTATTAACTATAATAGTGCCAAGAGATTTCCCACTACAGAGGTACAACATTGCTTTTATTGGATTTCAAAGCAGTAAGATACACCAACTCTGCTGCTAGTCCTTCTCCATGGGCTTTTTATTTCTGTGCAAAATAAAAACAGTATTCTGAGAAATGGGATATTTCTAAAGGTAACAAATCATATTTACAGGGGACTATACAAGTAAGATTTTCAAATATTTCCCTAGTATTTAGACTTAATTGTGCAGCAGAGACGATTAAAAAGCAGATGATGGACCTAACATTTATTGACTTACGTTGACTTCTTGTCCTATTATAAACAGAGGAACTGTTGTAAGAGGAAACTGAATGGACGACTTGCCACTCCACATCTCCCGAGAACATCATGAGAAACTGCCCTGCTAGCAGCAGCAATATCTGCTTCTGCAAAAAGGCACAGACTTGTTTTGCTGTTTTTGTCTTACCATATATTGCTTTCACACAGGCTGAATGGTGCAAAGGCCCATTAATGCAGATCAGCAAGAATCCTCATTTATCTGTTCCATTCCAAAATAACTTTCAGATTTTTTGCCCAGGAAAGCTCCCATATTCATACGCGTCTCTGTTCTTAATTGTCAGCAGTCATTTAATATTCAAGAACTGTATTTACCCAGATTGACATCCTGTGCTGAGTTTTCTGCTACCATAGCTAGATCAATACACATACCAGTTAGTCTAACGCCCAGTTATGTCTGCATGACAGCTACAGAAATTAGTATATTGTCAATATATCTTTAAGCATTCAAGGAGTTTCAGTGTTATGGTAATACCTCTGCTTCTGTACTTTAAAGCACCACCCAAATTTCCCAGTATTTCTTACATTTTATTCAAATATATAAGCATTTGTCTTCCTGTTTAATAAGTGGGTTATAAAAGGATGCAAGAGTCTCAGATTACCAAACTCTGATCCATGCAGGCTACCCATAAAAGAGCTAAAAACACTGTGAGCCCCTATAATATTTTGAGAGCACTATTTCTTTTGCTAGGAACTATGGCATATTCAACACAGCTGGATCCAGGTGTCTAAGTCTCTGCTAAGATGAGGTCAGCAAAAAAAAAAAAAAAAAGTTACCATAAAGCCACAAATGCTGCACAGTAAGACAGGAGAGCAGGACATTAACACTTGGTGAAAAAGCTGCTGTCCTCTGCAAAAGTCATCCTCCTCTGAGAGGAAGCTGCTCAAGAGTTTTGAGGCTTTCCCTCACAATTACTCAAAGATATCTGCTGAGCCTATGAAACCTCCTCCTTCTCTTCTTTTCCTCAACTCTCCTCAAACTTTTCTTTCTTGTACTCCTCAAGCCCTCCAGCTTGTCAGACAGCAGCAGAACTCCACAGTCCAGAAATTACCAAAAGATACAAGCAGTACCTTACTGTTTGCTCTCCCACTGAAAACTAACAGTGACAGGTGACTAACTGCCACTGAAAAGTATGTAATCATCTTACTCAAATACTTTTGTTTTAAACAAAAACATAAACAAACACTTGTTTCAGTGTACATATTGTTTTTCCCTCTATACTCCACACATACATCCAGCCCTGTTCCTACCATGGGGATATCCATACCATGAAGCTTATCTCTATGGTTAGACCTAGATGGTAGATCTAGATCTACTTGATTCATCTGAAGATTGACATCATCAAACTGAACAATTGGAAGCTAACTAACTTCACTAGAGTGGTGAAAGCTCATGTCCACTTGTTCTAATCGGTGTTTCGTCTGCCCATAACTGCCAACAGTTATGCTTAGGCGACGTGCATTCAGGAAATGATTGTTTTTGTGTAATGGCCCTGCATGAACACACATCTGGCAGAAGCTTCTCACTGCCTGAAAAGCTGAATGCTGAAAGCTTTACGGACTTAAATCCCCATAGGTGCAGCCACAACTCTTCAAAGACTGATGGCGCTGTACTACTTCTAGTAAGATGACACAGTGAGATACCAGGCACCGTAACCACTGCTAAAGGCAGTAGGACCTCTAAAATTCATATTCTCCTAAATGAACAGCAATTTGACATTTAAGAGTACAGGAAATTGGCTAGTCCTAGCATTAGAATGAATAACACTCCACAACTCAATTTTAATTTCAAATCACTGTGATAAGTGTAAACATTTGCAAAAATGCTTTTCCCTCATTTTATTATACCCTGTCAAAGATGATTATAGCTGAGCTAGAGGCAAAAACTAAAGAAGAGACTTGGGTGTTATTTTAAAAAGCAGAAGTCTGCTTAAAGAATCTGTGGTATATTTGCTCTGGTAGGTGTTCAAATACTCTCTGAAACTTCGCTGCCCTGCAAGGCTAGCTACCAGGGATGAAAACACAGACGTCGTTCCCATTGCCCCATTTAACAGTAATAGCAGCCTTTCCCTCTTCTTTGCTCCTGAACGAAAGGAGCTGTTTATTTTGTATTTTTTTATTATTTTCCTTCATGTTTCTTGTGCTTTCATTTAGCTCATAGGCATCTACCAGTCTGTTCTCTTCCGTTTAATGCAAGTCATTCCTAACTCTGCAAGAAAGGCTTCACCAACTGGTTGAGAGCCAGGATAAAAACAAGAAGTCGTCCCTGTTATGCCTAGGTCTCAGACCTACTCTCTACACAACATCATCTCTCCCCTCAAAAATCGTGTTCTTATGAATGTAAGATTCTGCGCTGAAATGCCAGCTTAGTTACAAATGTCATGACATTATGCTTGACCTACTGGTCATGTAATATTGAAGTATGAAGTCCTCATAACCCAAATATCCAGGAATAAATGGTATTTGGACAGAATCTTCCAACCCTATGCCTACTATTTAGTAACCATAATAAACAAAAGGCAAAGTGATGAAGAAGTTCAAAACATTTCCTTTGTTTGTTTGAAGTTCAACATCTCCTTTGTGATTTCCCTTGCTACATGCATTTTGGGGGCTGAACCAGCCAGGACTGATTAATAGAGCCCCTTCCTAAACTTTATTGCCTACAACATGAAGGAAAATAAACCCTAAGTCAGGTATAAGGAGTTCCAGTACAATTTGCTTTTTGTTCTGCTCAATCTGTCCCATGACAGTAAGTCATTATATATGATAGATTTTATAGTCACACTATTCTATTCTGTATTATTTACCTTAGCTACCTATGTGAGGTACGGCATGCACAGAGTGCCATCCTGTGCCTGTGTGAAATACTGCACTGTCGATGTAAATTCTTTCGCTGTTTTGATCTGCACCACCCAGGATGATGGCAAATGCTGCCTTTTAACGATAACAAGGGGACTTTCCACTGCTAAGTGGTAACACAGCATCATTAAACTGCATGTATTATAAAGAGGATCTCCCATCTTCCTCCTTCCTATATATTGTCACACATGTTTTTCATGATCCATTCATGCCGAGCTGGTACTACACTACCAGACACATCCCTTGGTTTAGTTCAAACGTAGAATACTGTTATTTCAAACCCCAAACCACATCTTTAATTCTCAACCTTACTGTATGAAGCAAAAGATGATGGAGGAACTACCAGCATGTTTTAAATACATTCTTAGTATGCTGTTTTTAAGATTCGACCTAAATCTCTTTGTAGTCTCTGCAGTCAACTTCTTCTGGCTTGTGCCACTTATATTTTTATAACTTCTTATGCTTGAAACAAGAGTATAGGCATAAAGCCTTACATTGTTTGAAATTTGCATCAACTCCATTCCGTCAGACTGAATATGTAAGAGACGTTTCTAGCTTAGTCCTATGGTTCCTCAGTTCTGGATTGTAAATGAACTGGTACAACAGGACTGAGAGGAATATGAGTTTAAAAGACTTACTAATTGTGTTTGTTTCTACAGTAGAAGTAGGAATCAATCAGGTAAAATAAAAAAGTCTACTTACGGGCAAATCGTGAAAGCGGTCTTGCATTTTTGTCACCTGTTTCATTTGCAACTGAAAAGAGAAAATACAGAGAAATAAAAATCGTTAAATCTATGTGTCCCATTGTATAAGTTTAGTGATAACACCAATTCTAAAGCATATAAAGGAAAAAAGTAATAGCATTTGGATATATTTATACATGTGCATGTGCATGTATGTATGTGTATGTATAATTTTCTACATATACATACATGCACACAGATAGAGTTGTAATACTTTTTTAAATGCCACCCAATGTATTACTTTGAATGTTGGTATGCCTGTTCAGTTCAGCTTTCAGAGTTAGCAGGGCACACTATAGGCACACACAAACATTGTCCTATCCCACATTATAAATGAATCATATAATTGCCCAACTTTTAAGAACTAGCCATTAATTGTACATAGCAATATATGATCACAGTCATCCTTGCTAATCCTATTTTCTACTGTACTTTGTTTTCCAAGTCCTAAATAAAACATCACTTTTTCCCCATTGTTATTAATGACTCTGGTAAGGAAAAAGTAAGAAAGATTTTTATTCCTAGATAAGGAAATACCTTATGATTCTCTAGGCTCATTTTAAAAATCAATTAAATGAAATTTCAGAAGCTGTGCAGAGGAATCCCGCAACATTGGAACTGTACATAGATATTACTTAGATTCAAAAAAAACGCATACAAATCCTGCATTTTTCTGCCACGGATTCATACTGGCATAACTCCCCTCCATTTATGTGACACAGCAGGTACACAGTTAGTCAAGAGCATAAATGATTCTCTTTGGGGTTCTCACTTTATTAAACTACAGAAAGAGAGGAGAGTTATCAAGGAGATGAATTACCAGCTAACAGCGACTTCTTCTTTTATAGCTAGAAAAACCATGAGAAATAGCTCTGATGGGAAAAATTGGTAGGAAAACATACTATGAATGTACACAGAAACTTTAACAATTCTTTGTTTTCCTTAAAAAATGCTATTTTCTAGAGACAAGACCAAGCCAGTTGAGAAACCCCATAAAAGAATGCAAAATATGAGTAGAAATCAGATTTATTGGTTCCTATTAAGACAATGTCCTCTGAACAGTAATGGATTTTTTTTAAGCCAGAAAAGGCTTTTGAGGAATTTCAAGTGCTCATTATTTTAGCAAGTGGTTGCTGCATCGTTTTGCTTACATCAGCCAGTAGATGGTGCCCTTAAAACACGCCACTTTCCAAAGGTGCTGAGGCACTTCTGCACTGGAAGCACAGGCCAAACAAGAGAGAGATTTTCTCTAGCTCTCGTTGGCTCAGCGCAGGAACTGCGAAAGCCCTGTCAGCACAGCCAGCCAGCCAGCCAGCCAGTCAGCGAAACTCCGCTTTTAGGAGTGCAATCGCACAGATCCTCTTCCATGACAGAACTCAAAAAGCCTTAAAAGGATCAAAAAGATCCTTTAAAAGCAAAAAAAAACCCCACCTAATTCCAACACTTTATAACAGAGTCAACCAACTAGCTCATTTGCTCAAGGTACCTTGCATTTACTCTTGGCCAATCCTAAAATATGGCCCTGCTGCTTATCTACCAGAGCATGGGGAACTCACTAGGCAAGCAGGAGCAGCAGCCCTGTGGTCTCCCAGGTCTGGCTGGATGCCCTTCCCTCTCTTGAGTCCATCTCAAGTACTTGCAGCACAAACCCCAGCCAAACAAACTCTCCTGGGACACTACTTAACAGCTCCCCTCAGTCCCAGGGTGCAGAGACACCAGACTGACTGCACAGAGTTAAATAGGTTTGGAGTATTTTCAGCATCAAATCTGGCTCTGCTGGAGGTGATGGCACAGTGAAGGAGAGGTGGCAGCTTCATCCACACAGCAGGGATCAAAAGAGCTGGAGCAAGTGAGATGAAGAACTGTGCCAACTTTTGCAGTGACAAAATGTTTATAAAACACTGCCCTAGCCAAATGTAAATGTCGGGTAGCCACAGTGGCCAGACCGTAGCAGCCACACTGTCTTTCACACAGTGCTGCCACCTTACTCTAGGCAGACTGAGAGATTGCCTAGAGGACTGGTCCCTTCTGGGGTCTCAGGCACCTAGTCAGAGAGCCTATCACAGCAGAGCCTAGGCAACTTCATAACATGCACTGATATCTAAGTTTGGGCATCAACTGAACTGTTAGGTCAACGAGGAACGTGCCTGCTATGGGCCTTTTAACTGCGCTAGTCTCCCCTTTAGAGCATTTCCTCTGGTCTGGTAGCAGAGGACACTCACTGGTCACCAGGGGTTTGAGGTGCACCCAAGGTCTCGGCTTTATTCCACCCTCCGGCTGGATGTAGCAACAAGAGTACGGGAGTGCTCCATCCAGCATCTGTGTTTTGGAAGCTCAGCTCCCAGAGTCACAGCATCCAACACAACAGGTGTCATTAATCCCTTTAAAAAAAGAATTTTCCAGTTCCATGCCACATATGTTTGTTTTCAGTTGTCAGTGCTTTTCAAACGTCAGATTGTGTAATATACAGAATAATGCCCTTCCACCTGGCATGCAGTCATCCAGAGCAAAGGTGGAGGTGAAACAGCAAAGCAATGAGCAGGGCAGGAAGCACTGCGGGGGCTGATCCTGCATTACTAATGAGATTTCTGCAACACATGAGCTAATTACTGCCTAGAAGTTGTAGGGGACCTGTGAGGAGTGTACGTAGATGAAAACCCATATTTGTTTAGTCCTTCATTTAAAAGGGGAAGGTTTCAAACGCAAAGAGTGAAGAGAATGTCTGCACTTGGGTTATGTGAATATCTTAGAGGATTTTACTTGATGCACTTCTTATCATGGAAATTTCACTTATATTTCCTATACTCATCCTGTAAGTTCTTCATGTCTCCAAAAAATCCAACAGACCTATACAGGTGACATATGCAAATGAGAAAAGATTGAAGACTGCTTTTCTTCAAAAGGCTTGAAATAGTCTTCACATATTAACTAAGTTTATTAACAGCAATACGCTTTTGGGATGAAGCAGGTATTAACGGAACTGGAGAAAGATGCTGAATCTCTGAGAAAACAAGTCACAACCCACAAAGGAGACTTCAGGCTTTTGGGAAGATTTCCTGTGCCCATACTGCCACTCTCTCTTCAGATGTCCTTATTCTTCAGCCACAGCCTATACTTCTATATCAAAGTCTAGGCTGATTTTGATTTCTGATTAGATGAGATTGTCAACGTAAAAATTTCAGAAATATTTACTTCATGCTTCTGCGTGGATAGGACCTTCTTCAGTTCCTATCCAAAGACCTTTTTTGTACTAAACCATGCACGCTAGAAGTTATTTTCCATTCTGACCTGGAAGCAACTAAATCTCAGTGAAGCTTATAGCAATGCATAGACAGTTTGTAAGCAATTAATATTCCTTCAGAAAGACAGCTGTGAGAGGCAGGAAACAGACTGTAATTACACTATTAGAGTGAAACATTTGTATGCTATCTGGGGTCACTTGTCCAAGTAGACAATGAAATACCAAGGCTTAGCCAAATTTCTTACATTTCAAAAGTCCTATATCATATTATAACTGCCCAGAATCTCAAGAACCTTTCATTGCAATTATAGAAATATCTTTATGGGCATGATCAGTTCTTTGATTACTCACATGTGAGTTCACCATGTGTCAGCTTAGAGTCTTGGGCAGTTTTCACTTTTTAATGTTTGTCCTGTTGAATGATTTCCTACAACTTTCCACCTTTTGGTATAGAAGGTATTAATTTCACCAGTACGCCCCCTCAGCTAATTTAGCTTTCAAAGTTTCTTTGGCAAATTTCTAGTGCAATGCAAAGGAATACCACTTTGTAGTAATGACTCATCAAGACTGACAGACTTAAACAATAGCACATCTTCTATATTTTGCCATTAAACAGGTGAGAAGTTGAAAAAAAAGTCAGATATTTTTTACCTACCAGTAAACACATTCTTTCAAGGGGACTTTTTAATCAGCCAAAGATCAGATGAGTTTAATTAAATGTTTCATACTTCAAAGCAGCCACACCGCTAGTAATTTTGTCAAAGTTTTAGGAAAAGGTAAAGTGCGTTAGATAAGGTGAGAACACAGACACGAAGATAAATGTATATTGAGCATAGAGTCTGAACAAACTGTGCTGAGATTTTTCATTTTTCCACAGCTGCATAATTTGTACAGCATCCCTATAAAAACTTCTGGATTGCTCTAGATAGACATGTAACATTTCATCTCCTGATAATAATTTCCTTTAATAAATCTCTTTAGAACTGAAAAATTTCTTTTTTCTTGTGCTTGATCCTCTAAATTATTTACAAAAAGCCCCAATTTCCTCCTCCAACCATCATTGTGTGGACTAAAAACACCATGGTCTTCTAGTTGCCTCTAACAGAAGAGACAGCTTCATATCCCCCCACCTTTACTGAAC